CGCATTCGCGCTTACCCGAACCGAAGCTACGACAGCGAGAAGCCGTATTTTCATTTAGATAAGAACAAATTTGTTTTGGATTTCGTCGCGAAACTATCGAAGATCGTTCGAGTGAAACGGCTCGAGAGAAGGCAGACTGCGGTGTATTTGATAAACTGATAGCAGAGACACACTCCAATATTTACGGTTAACCTTCTTAATTCACTTTTGAGAGACAATATGTTTTTATATATTGTGTACTCATGAAATTTTTTATTTATTTAAAAAAAATAATCAAATCCTACGCTTCTCCTTTTTTTCATTTCATTATGATATTGTTGTTGGTTCATCATTTCTGTTTTATTAGCAAATTTCAGTTAAACTATTTTGCTTAAATTATGCACGATATATTAATAATACAATGTTTTTGTTCTTGTAAATTCTCTAACAGCTGGAGCTGCAAGTTGTTGAAAACTCATAATTTTACGTTGAGCGCGACAATAAAATAAGCATGAAACAATTCACAAGTGAAATGGGAGGGTAAATCTTGCAATAAATGAAATATTAATATTTTAATTGTACGATTTAATGGTACGGTAAAAATCGGATCCTTTAACAACGACATTCTACCTATGCATTTGATTTCTTTGACAAACTCGAGACGCTTTTTTTCTTCAAAATGTCTTCTGTTTGAATTTCATTGAATTTAAATACATTTGCCGACGTAATCGGATGGTCACGGAATGAGTGCGAATTTTTTCATCCCTCCCACTCCTTTCTTCTCTTCGGCGCCTTTTCTACTTTTTGCGTCCGTGCTTGCTCGTCACTAGTAATATTCAATCACTGAATTAATTAAACGATGTTAATCGGTACTCTTCAATTGTATGAAATATTTTCTACTATCTCTTATTTTTTTTAAACGATTTATGATCGCAAAATTGATTAAATTGTTATTTATTTTTATTATCGAAACTTGCGAAATTTTTACGCAACACTTTTGTTTTTCAACTTTTTAGATTTGAAAAATCTGTTATAAACGCGAAGTGATAAAAGTGAAAAAATATTTTTAGTTTAAATAAACAAAAAAAGAAAGAAAAATAATAGCAATAGTAATTACGAAAAAAATGATATAGTTAATCTAATATAACTTTTTAGATGCAATTTCTAATTATATAATTTCTGCAGCATATGTTAATGTGATTTATAAATACGTGTGCATACAATAAATGCAGCAAAAACATATGTGTCCATAAAAAATGCAGTGTGTATAGATTAGCAAATTTCGGCAATGCGCATTGTAATTAAAAAAAGTTACTTTTAAGAGCTGTGAGGTTCGTTAAAATTAAATGCTGCGTTTGAGAAATGCAAAAATGAAGGAATTTCACTGTGTTCTAAATTCAATGCATAAATTTGAGAAACAAGTTTTCACCTAGAGTGATAGGTAATTATACAGAATACGGGAATAACTTGCAAGTCAAGAATAACACGCGCAAGGCTATACGTTTCTGTATATCCCTTTCCTTTAATGATTGCACACTATATTTTCGCTATCAAAATCGAAAGGTGAAAACCGTGCGTTTAATATCGTAAAACCTGACTATTTCGTAAACAAATCCTCTAATTTGCAAGCAAGTGCTCCGATCTACTCTTTTGCATAAGAAAATCTATTAATAGTGAAATTACAACGTACTCTTTTGTGAATCTCTTAATTAACGTTGCGTTCCTGGATATTTAATATTCATTTTCGCCATTTATATGACAATCAGTTAACAATCAACAGAAAATTTGTTCGTCTAGTGTATTCGCAAATCATTTTGTTGAGAGACAACAATGTACAGTATATATTGTCTTTATGTAAACATGGCTAAAGTGCAAACGACCGAAAGCATTTTGCTTTATTCTGGCAAGAAATCAGAAAAACCGCATATAACAAAGTCAGTATTCGAATTAATCAATATGCAGTGTAGTTTACAGTTGGTATACAAACTAGTTATATAGACTGCCATATATAAAAGTATAATAAAAGGCACGCGAGCTTTATACAAGCGAACTCAACGATGTATAAGCAGCAATCGATCCCGGTGCGACATTTTTTAGACGAAAAGCATGTTAGAAAATGGAGCAAATAACTCTAATATTAAGTCTATATAAAGTAAGATGTATAAATTGTATATCGTCTCTTGTAAAAGAAGATTTCTTCAATTTAAGACATTCAACGTTAGAAAATGGAGTTGCAAAGTTTAATTAAATTTATCAAATTAATTTTTTCGCTCTCAAAGCACGACGTATTGATTATACGAACAACAGAACAGCTGTTTCGATTAAATCGTAATTCTAAAAGTAATAATCCGTCCGCGCAAATGCACCAAGTCCTATTTGCAGAAATTTTAAAGGCAATAACGCGGCGCTATTCTGGAAAATCAGCGTTGTAAGGAAATCAGGGCGGATCACAAGGCGGTTTACGCGGACGCTCTTTTTATCGGCGCTTTTCTCCGGGCCGGTGCGATACAAGCGAGGATTAGGAGTTGTACTAAACTAACGAGAGCAGCAACGTCGGGGCCGGGATCGCCGACGCATAAACGCAACGCATCGTTAACGCCGGTTATGGAACTTCCTAGTTTCTTGCCCATTAGCCTGGGCCTGTAACGGGCGGTCGTTGGCCGTCTCGCGAACTTCTGCTCGCTACTTCACCGCGCAATCGTAAATGTATTAATAAATAATAACGAACTTGCGCTCCCATGTGCTCGCCCACCGCCCGACTTCTCTTATATGTGTCCCTGTCCTTTGCCTTTCGTCACCAACGACACTACGAACCCTATACATATATGTTTTGCCCTCTTTGAATAGACCTCGACCATTCTCTCAAGCCATTTTCCTCACGATAATCGTGCTTGACTTTGCACACATCGGCGTCGCGTGACCCTCGAATTTGACATTTTTGTGTGTATCGTCAATTAATATTACAATAATCGATGATACACAGATGTCATAGATACATAGATATTAAGAATCATATCTTATTTCTTATGTAAACATTTAATTATTCTATTACTTTTTAATTACTAGTTTCTATTTTTTATTTAAACAATTTTTGTATAAAAAAATTAATATTAAATCGTGTAATAAAAATTTCATTATATTCATTATAGATTTTGCTTATAACAGGAGCTTTGGTATTAAAAAATGTGATTGCTATTTTACTAAACTGATAAAATATTGGTTATATTAAAATGAAATATTACTATCTTTTTTCTTTAAAATTTTTGAAAAATAAATTTTAATGTAGTCATTCAAAGAATTAATTTACTTGTGATGCAAAGTTAATGAAATTTTTAAAGTAGCAAACATTTTTTGTGATATTTTTACATATAATTATATATACTTTTGTTTAATATCTTTGTATCCAAACATCATATTTCGGGACATAAACACTATAATATAATGCGGTGCAACTACAAGCTTTCAGCGGCGATAGAATGGAGAGAAAATAGAATGGAAAAATTGGAGAAAAAAGAATGCCTCTCTCTCTCTCTCTCTCTCTCTCTTTCTCTCTCATACCTGCACGGAAGGGGTAGCTAGCGGTAGCTTTTATATTGCGTACGTTTTATAGTGGCCGCATCTATATATACATATGTATATAAATATGTGTATGTATGTTGCGTGCATGTGCGTGTTTATCGTTACCCGCTGTATTGTTTAAAACGCATAAACAAAGTTTTTCTCCAATTCTTTGCTCTTAAACTATTTTTCTGCGAAGATAATACATCACGTCATAAAATTAAAATGTTAAAATGTGTATTAAATTAAGATCTTAATTTCTCCATCTTAATTCACATAAACTTGAATTTTGTTGTAAATCAATCGAACTGTGTAAGAATTTAGAATCTTATATTATAAAGACTTTTGTAGCTTAAGAAATATTTACAAATCTATATTTTTATAATTCAAATATAATTAATTCTTATTTTAGAAAGAGAAGAGCTTTTTGCTTGTGCCATAATTGAGTACCTTACGCGTTTCTGCATCAAATATTTAAGAATCTGTATTATGCAAGTACTAAGTGCAATATACATGCGAGATAGAAAGAGTATTAAGGTTTGTAAAAAGTATAGGGCCAGATTGTTTTATTTTGAAAATAATATTCAAACGCGCTACTGTATTTATACTATGTATCTATCACGCGTTAAAGACTCTTTCCTCTTATATTATTTCTTTCTTGTTTTCCCTTCTACTTACTATAATATAATCTCGCATTTTCTGGCGCGAAACATCACGAGATTTATCCTGAAAATACATCGTGTGCTCGACATCATGCAATTAAATACCAGCACTGTGACGCAAGAAAGAAAGATTAGGAATAAAGAGAAAAAACGGAGAAAAGTCCAGGAGAGTAGGATAGGAAGAGAGAAAAAATAAAGAGGCGACGCTGCAAAGGTGAATGGAAAGAAAAATATGGAAATGCCAGGAAAATTGTTATCACAAATACTGGTAAAGCAGTGCCATTCATTTGTGAAGTTGCAGTGAACTGAGAAATAATGAGTTTTTAGATGCACAAATCCATATGAGTATAGTGATTTTATTATCACGTATTTTCAATGCGAATATATTATCTCTCCTATTATTAATAATATAATCTCTGATATCTCTGATATCAATCGCGCTTCTTCGCGAGAATTATTTCTCATTCATAGAAATGATTAAGCTATCACATTTGACGAGAAAAATTGTTTCATAAAACTTCAAAGAATAAACGTTTTAAATTCTCTATCTTAACATTAACAGCTAATGTGCTTAAGGTAATTAAGCTCAGCAATGACAGCAAATTACAATATTATAATATAGAAATATTTGCGTTATATATTAGCGATATACTATATGAATTAGACCGTTTAAAATTGGTTAGAACAATTTGTAATGTATATAATTCTTTCAAAAAGAGTCTTGATTTCTTGATAGGTGTCTCCGTTGCCAAGCTTAAGGTGCTAAAAGATACGTGAAGCCGAAAGAGAGATCGTAATTACCTGGATTTTCTGATCGATAAGGATGAATTCTGTGCCCTGCGCGAAATTTGATTGTGCCACGGCCAGCAGAAGCAAAAGAATTGGTAGGAGTCTCGTCGTCGGTAGTCCCATTTCACTTGTCGATCGTTTACGAGCGATTCATTTGCCGCGTACACGTGCGCGTGCTTTCTCTCGCACAGAAATATAAATTCGAAAGCTTCCTTTCGATTTTTCCAAACGTGTCCTGTCGTCTCAAGGGTAAATGACACGATGGTGGTGTTTTTCAGGAACTAAATGTGATTGCAAACGTTAATTGACTTATGCATACCGATCACGACGAAAAGAATCTCTCTGACGTTTCCGCGGAGAATTTTATTCCTTAAGTATTAGATTGAATATGGAACCGAATATTGCAAGAAATGACAGGAACCGCAAGTCGTCTCGTTCGGTGAAATGTCGGAGCACGCGATGAAGATAGATCGTAAGAAGTTGAGAAAAGTTTTTATATCCGTTTCACGATTTTTTTTAATATGAGTCTCTTTATATATATATATATATATATATATATATATATATATAATATACAGAAAAAATTATATTCTTCTTCGCAAAGTGTAACTATCGATATATTTGATTACTTGAGTTTGTTTAATTTCATCATCGACACTACAAAACTATACGACAAAAAATACTTCAAATTATAGTTAAAATTTGTAATAAATTCTACATTCTTTAATATAATAATAATTATCGTGCAAGAAAAATGTGAAAAACGAAATAAATATTACTTCTTTCTGACCCGCGTATTTTTTTCTCATCTTTCATTTAAAGTTTTGCCAGAATTGTATAAACTGAGCTTCTAGTTTTGCATAATTTTTGGGGAGGTGTATTCTGCTTTTAGTCGGTTCACCTTTTTTTTCAAACCTTAGGTTTGGCTAGGCACCGTTGCAATTCAGTATTTGTTCGCGCGGATTAAGCCGGATTGTACGATGGCGGTACGCGGTTGCGGTAAAAGCCAAGGAAATTGTGCGTCCCGGTAAACAGACAATGGCTGTACACCGCCGTACGACGCGCTGTTTTTCAATTATTTTTAATTATTTTCTGAATGACGGCCCGCGTGCTCTGCCGTCGAGTTTGATGTACGCCAGCCACGGTCTTCAATCTCGCTCGCCGTTGCATTGTCGGTTGTTGCACGTCGCGTTGTCGCGGTCTCTCTATCGTGTGTCGTCCGCTTTCCTTCCATTATATCCCAATTTTCGTTATTTAATTGATTTATATATTATACTTATTAAAAAATCTAATAATCTTGTCTCATCTTTTTTCTCAAGACACTTAAATCGCAATGCAACTTTTATTTAAAATCAATTTCAAAGATTTTTCCTACGGAGATGGCGAAGCTATTTTTTCCGCTTGTTACTCGATTAAATTAAATTGTTCGTAAAAGTTATTCGAATTGTACATAATGTGAGAGAGAACGCGGGCCAAACGATGTTGCTTTTCGAGATTCTTGCGCTTTCGTATTGGCGACGAAATACTGTGCGTAAAAGCACGTCGCGAAGATGCAGACTGCCGTTACGTGCTAGCAGGATTTACTCGAGAAAACTCATGCTCGTTCTTACTTGAGTCGCAAATGAGATTTTTTCGGACTTCGTGCCCTGCATTACTCGGCAATTTAATTTCAGAAGTAAAGAAACCTCGACGGATTAGAAACTGGGTTTCGCAAGCTCGTAACCGTACTTTTACGATGCGCGTCAATCCCGGCCAGATTTATCCGTCGTAAATTATAACAAGCTGTTAAATATTATATAAATACCGTTTGTATAAACGACGAGAGAAAAAGAAAAATATATTATTTGTATAACAGCGCGCAATAATCTAATTCTTCCTTATACTATTAAATATAAAAATTATATTACATGAATGTCGGAATTATATTACATGATATTCGTAAAATATTTTACAGGATTTTCCCAAAGCTCTTTTTATACATTTCAAGAAAAATAAATTATACTTATAATTTAAACAGGAAAGATTAAATAAAGAAAAGTTTTCTCTTGCTAACCGTCACGCCATCCGAACAAGACGAGCTTACGAACCTATGACTCCTCGTGCGATATCAACGGGTCCGAGAGAATTCAATGATTCGCAGAAGAAGAATGAAGGCTTCGCGTAGACCGAACTTGACAGACTGGCATGCCGTCAGTCGTCATAGCGAAGGAAGAGCCATCCGAGTATAAGAACACCCCACCGCGGTTGTCAACGGCGGGAAAGCGTGGGAGGTACTAAGCTACTAGAGATTTTTTCTCTTTTAACATTCTCGCTTTATAAGCGCGCAACAAAGTCATCGGTGATGGCTCTTGCTCCTGACGAGCTTCATTGTTCCACCACGTGAATAGGAAACACAAGCAGCATTCGAAAACGTAATTCCAGTTTAGATAAATATAATCGAATCGTCGAGCAAGGATTAAAAATAATTAAATTCGTGTTAATTTCGGAAAAGCTTGCGTAATTCGAGGCTCATCGATGACTAATTTGTTTGAGCAGAGATAGAGAAAAAGGGAAAGGCTAAATATATTTTCTTTCGGCTCTTTTTTATGTAGAGATAATTTTGGACGAAAGATTAAACGACTATCCGGACGTGCTTGACAAATACAAATTGTGCCTTTCCACCCCTTTATAACGAGTCGGAGCACGTTAAATATATATGAAGCGATGAAATACATGTGTTAAATTAAATTCGGAAACATGCTTACGCATCGACAAATTCTACATGGAAGCTGCTACAGAAAACTTTTACAAACAAGAAATAAAAGATGATATGATATAACATGTATCAAAGCATTCGTGCACAAGAGTTTTACAAAATAATTTACTGAATTTACAAATTATAAATTATATTGTAACAAATATTATAAATAAATCTTAAATTTTATAGTCATCATTTTTGCTTTTTTCCTCAGAAAAATTAAATTAATTTTTCCTTTTTTTCCTAACATATGTATTTATAATTATTTTTAATATTTCAATGTAGAGACTATTTCAAATTTACAGCTTTAATTTTGTGTTATCATGCCATATAATTAGTAAGGGGTGAGTGCTTTGAGATTAATTAATAGGAGAATTTGATAGTACCAAGAACGGAAATGAAGACCTCGATATGTAAGTTAAGTCAAGTGCACATTGTAACAAGACACCGTTTATAAATAAACTGATAAGAAGGCAGACAAAACTATAAGATCGAACAGTCGATTGAGCAAAGTAAAAGTTTTGAATCGAGTGAGATAATATTATTAGTTCAAGAACCGGTAACATTTAAGATATATATATAGTGACACCTGGCTCAATTATTTCCAAAAACACTATTACACCGGATTATAAACGTGAGGCAATTGATAAACATAAACTCTTTTCGAAATCTGTATAGAATTGTTCTTTTGCTTTTCTTTCCTTTCTGGATAACTAATAGATGCGCGCGGAATGACAGTTCGAGATTTTTCACCCTCGTGTAGCTCACATCCCCGCAATTATATCGTTGCTCCGAAAAAAACTGCAAAACTCTAGACTATAACAGTCACATGTCCATCTTTAGATATCCATCTTATCCAAAGATATCCGAAATATAATTTAATAGTTTGTACATAAACTCTACATACAACAACGTAATTAAACAGGAAGCGCACCACACGATGAGTTATTCGCGAATGTCGTGAAATAAAATTCCGTCTCGAGGCCGCGGTCGATTTTGTTCAAAGTGTCGAGCTAACCGCGCGCTTTTTCATCTGACAATTTGAATACATTATACTACCGGCTGAGTGTATAACTAACTGTCAACTTTTATATAGGCGGCTATGTTTTCTCTTCTATCCCTCGCGACTCGTTTTCGCGATTCCCCACAATAAACTCTTGTCGGGTGCAAACCGGCGAACACGTAAACGCGGAGCAGGAGCGAGACCGACCGACCGACCCGTCGTGTTCCGAGCGAGTAACTGTCGGCCGAGAGGAGCGTGGGAGGTCTTGCAGGTACCGCGGCTCCGTGGCGTAATGGCAATCACGCGGCCTCATGCCGACCCTTTGGCGCGCTTCGACCTCTCGGCAGTTTCCGGCTAACGCTCGGCGCCGCTCGACGTCGTCCGCCGCGTTCATCTCGCGTTGGGAGTCGGCGTCGAGCCGTCCGCGAGAGTACTTAGGGATGAATTTGTCTAATGTTGTTTAACCCCCTTTTCCCTATTTAAAAAGCACGAGTCTCTTTTGAGACTGTATATTTTCTTCTAATGCAATGACATGAAAAATAAATACCGATTAAGGGATGATCAATTATACAAATTACTCGAATTAAGCAGTTGCTCCTGCAGATTATATTAATTAGAATGGCTTCATTAGAATTATACATTTTTTAGTGTAAAAAGATATTTCAATGTCTTCATAGAGTAAAAATACTATTGTCATATAAATGTTAAATAATTGAGCGATGTTATAAATTTTAGTATGTCACGAAACATTTTGCATCTTGCGCAGAAAATCGTTTCGGCTCTCAGATTAAACAAGTAGCTGCGCATAATTACGAAGATAAAATTGAGAGGATGAAATTCGAAGCTCGTATCTTAATTGTTGGCAAATCCTCATTTAAGTAAATTAATGGAACACGCTAGTGTCGTATCACCGGTGATCATCGATGGTCGACGATGCGGTCAAATTTCCGCGCACACCTCGTTCGATGCACAGTAGTGCATACCGAAAACATCATTAGCGAAGTGCGACGCGCGATGTCGACAGAACGACACGTTCGGTCTTTCCTCTTCGCGGATTATAAAACTTTAAATAAAATAACTTTAGAACCCCGCGCGAAAGTCTGTACGCGCGCTCGGACAAGCGTGAGGGACGATGACGACGACGTTGACGATGGAAGAACGAAGGAAACGCACGAGGGAAGAAAGACGACCTCGTTTAAGGGGTGGGTGAAATCCACCCGCGACACGATGTAGACACGGAAGAAAGGGACGGCGCATGTTTATTCAAACTCATCTTATATCGCATTTTCATACTAATGGACTTTTTCAACTCGGGGCCGGAGAGAGCATGTCCTACGTTTCCGTTCTTTGGCTTTGGCCAACGCGAAGAACGTAGAGCGCGGCCCCGGATGTAGATCTCCGGATTATCATACTCGCGTTAGCATAACAGTTAGAATCTCGACTCGAGAGATGGGTTAAGGCGGGCGGAACGAGCAGTGTTGAGAAGTGCTCTCGATTTCTCGACTCGTCGTCGGATTCGTCGCGCGAGATAAACGATCAACCGACGACGTCCTGATTTATTCATCTATTTTCCGCAATCGGAAACGGCAAACCGAGCCATTTAGCTTGAAAGCTGTAGGAATGAAGTTTAAGAAGATGCGGGTACAAGAGTTGATGCGACTCATTTAGTCTGACAAAAGATTTTTGAAATGGTTTATTTTACTACCAATTGGGGACAAGAGAAAGCGCAACTTAGCTTCTTATCTATTGAATTAATTTAAATAGAAATGCTGTGTGTGTGTACAGAGAAAATGGAATTATTACATTTACATCTTAAGCGCTGTTATTTTTGTTATTCTTTTCATTTAAAAATATTCTAAAGTCCAAAAAAAAAGAAGAGATAATATAATAAACGTAGCTGCATTATTGGGAAAACAGACTTCTCTTCAAAATAATAGATTGAATAAGAAACAGAGAGAACGTATCAGTATACAAGCGCGGATGGATAATGACTTAAATTGATTTCACAGACGTAAATATATCTTTCGTGTTCTATTAGTGTGACAAATATATGAGATAGCAGTCTAATTTCAACTCAGAATTATGTCAACCATATTACATATGCTAATCCTCATTCCTATGGTAAACTTTATCTCGCTTTAAATAATCTATACAAATGGGCTTGTTAGTTTTGTGTGATTTAGATTTTTTATTACTGTAATATACTTCACATATGGTCTCTTGGTATTCAATGTAAAGTTACAATTTAAATTTTATAGTAATTTTCTCTCATCTTTCTGATGTCTCACTCTAATAATGATCATATGATATTGCGCTGAATCATACAACCTCTTCCTTCATATCATATGTGCATTCTTAAACGAATATGCTGTCATTATAGACAAATGTCAAAAATTATTTTTACATGATGTCAAAGATGCATACTTTTCTTCCAGGACAGAAATTTATTTTTCAGTGTTAACCTAGAAAAGAGCTCAGTTGTTTTTATATAGAAGCGGCATACATTTATCATGCTATCATTTCTTCGCAATCGTTCTATGGAGTGCGTCCGAAACCGCGTCGTCTTTAAGATGAAATAAATTTCTCATTACTAGCGTAATTCGCGCGAGAGTTCGACTCAATCGGCGGCCGCTTGCAGCGACTATCGCCGGATGCATCCTGCATCCCTCCGCTTGCGGACGAAAATTACTTTCGGGTTCAGGGATGAGAGAGAGAGAAAGAGAAGGAGCCAGGGAGTTCTATGCAGGTCGAGAATTTTCGTTCTACTCAGGGACGATTAAACAAATCCAGAGCGCCGACGCCGCCCGCCTCGCGCCGTAATTTTCTCGACCGCGTACGTATTGTCGTAAATTACAAAAAAGGGGGTTTGAATTGCACGAGCAACGGCGCGTGCACGCGAACGCCGCGAAATAACCACGCCTGCGTTTATGTGTCTGTGTGTTATACGTACACGCGGCCAGGATGCATCGGGATAATGCCGTTCAAGAGTCAGCTCTTGTGCCGTCACAAAGAGAATTCTGACCATTTAAAAAAAAAAAAATAATTCTTAACGCATCATAACTATATTACACACTTACACGTACTTAAAACCGCATTTAAACCAGTTCGCATGCGGCGCGCATCTTTTATTCATCGAATGGATTAAAGAAAATCGATACCAAAACACGAAACGAATAAAATAGATAAAACTTCAAATAATGTATTATCGTTATCGTATCAGGCTTCAAATTTTCATAGAAGGAACAAGATTAATTCTAAAGTATTTTCTGATACAGTGATTTCGTAAGATGCTCAATTAAAATCTTATAATGCTTAATGTCATAATCAAATCAGAGTAAAATATCTGGAAATGGACAAGCAAAATAATATTTATAATTATGTTAAATACAGAGCTAGGACTATCTTGGTTTAGAAAACCTCAAGTAGAGCTATACACATATTTTAAAATAAATCTCTATAATTCGTTAAAAAAAAATTAAACAAAAAGGTAATGATTTATAATTTTTATACACTTGTGTACTTAATCTGATAAAATTGATCTACAACGAAGATTGCGATACGAAGATTAGGCACGGAGAGAAAATTCGATGAATACGAGAAGGGGATAGATCGGCCTTCGAGGAATACTGTTGCAGCGTACTGTACCTTGCACGTACATATACACCGACTGTTTGTCGTTGGTGCTGTTCGTTTGTTACGAGTAGACCTTAAGTGTACGAGGTGCCACGGTAACGCCTACCAATCTGCTGTTTGTCCTCCAA